AATTCGACCGTCACTACTAGAGCGGCCGAAGCGGAATTTTTACGAAACATTACGAAACGAATATTGAACTTTTTTTTTGTTTTTCTTGTCGATTTGGTGGTCACATTGCAAGTGACACGGATGGAAAAGAAAACAGTTATTATTTAATTCGGTCGTCACTGCAGCGGTGGTAGGGATGAGGACGGAAACGGTAAGACTCGTCGAACGGAATTTCCTTCATCGATTTTTGATTTTGAAAATATTAGACCCAAGAGATACCGGGTTACTCGCGTACTGGTATCGTACTGATGTATTGTAAAAAAAAAAAAAATGATTTGATAACCGAATCATCGAAAAGTAAAAACTCCAACTGTTTACGCATTTTGTTCGCGATTTGCATATTTTAGATTCCACAGCAGTGTGTATCTTAAAGTTTTTCCAAAGTGTGTTTTCTTCTCGTAAAACACTTTTGTGATGAGCGAAATTCCCCGATGTTCGCATACTGTAAATTTTTTTTAAAGCTGCGGAATTTCTTCTCGGCGGTAGGTACTTCGCTTAAATTTATATTTTTTTTTTTACCTGTTCTGGTTAGTAAAACTCTTTCGAATTATTCACAACGTGCCATACATTGGTTTTATTTACGTCGATTTCTGGATTATGTACCTCGGATACGTTGACTATACCTCACCAGTTTACCGGGCTCCGATCAGAACCGTTTGTTGATTGCGGCGATGCTCTATCGTTGCTCTCAGTATCATAACAATGTATCTTGTCGAAATTTCCTCGTACAACAATGGCGTACCCATGATGCGAAATATGCCCAAATTTTCGTAATATTTCTAAACGTATAGAACCTATATCGCGGTCAATATAGCGTAATAACTATTTTATTTGTTATTTTGTGCGGACTACGCGTTTTCTCTCTGTTTGTAATTTTCGATTCAAACAAAAATATACATTCGAAAGTTGAAATGCGTCGACGTCGCGATTTTCTATACTTATTGATGCGTGTTATTTGAAAACCGTAAACATGCGAACCGCGCACACAGGGCACATTTGGTTTATTGAATTTATTTCGTGTTTATAGAAACGGTGTATAGAAAAAATCTATTTACAAATTCCATTTTACAGTCAACAAACAATTTTTTACAAGTGTATCGTTTTTCATAATATACCGCGATCGTTTATTACCGGAGTCGTTTCTAATGCGTTTCGACAGAAATAGACTTTTGTCACGTGTGTTTTTAAACAATCCCACCCGCCCTGATGGGTAATATTGGCCGTTTAGTCGGCAAACTCCTTATGCATTTAAAGCGATTCGTTTCATCCCATCCCCCCCGCCAAGAGCGTTCCCTTTATAAAATGTTTTCTTACGGAATCTATTAATGCAATCTACAGGGGCGATTAATTATCCAGTGGAAACACGGTCGCAACAAAATCGCACCTCACTGCAGAGCGTCTGATGGACATCAGTGCGTGCGTCCGTTCGGATACTGAAAACCTCCTTAAAAAACGCCCTGCCGTAAACGCCGTGTCGACAGTCGTTATATTACGGCGCAAACTAACAAAGATACGGACATACTTCGCACGATGGGTGGGCCACTACTGAGGATGAAAAGTTGGAAAGGCAATAGGATATAGAGGGGAATTTGATATGTATCTGTACGCAGTCAACGGTAACGAAAAAAGATTCTGAGCGGAGTTCGGTTATAAGTGTTTTGAAAGGCCGTAATATTTACGATTTGAAAACAGTAAATTTCGTGGATTTTCCCGTTTTCTCGTGGGGACATCGAAAAACGACCGCCCTAAAGTGCATCTCCGGCAGGATTCCGTTTCAGTAAACGCGCATGTATCCGTGAACCGGAGCGAAGTCGCCAAAGTTGAAAAGTTGCTCGCGGGAAAAAAAAAAATAAAAAAAACAAAACAAACGTCGGAATCTAATAATTAAACATCGCCGCGAAACCGACACGCTCGTCGCCCGGCTCGGGATCCAAAATCATTTCGCGACATTTCCGAACGCGTGCGGCGGTACGACGGCGCTCCGCGCCGCGCGCCGACTCCCGGTGCCGGACCACGGTGCCTACGCGCGCGCACGACCGCACAATCGCCGGCGGCAAGCCGGGCGAACCGCGAACACCGGGGTCGGCACGATAATCGCGCGTAATTTTGCGATTTTCAAACGACACGTCGTCGCGCACGTTCCGCGCCCGACGGTCGATAATGCGTCGCGCCGTGTTACAGAGCGGGCGGCACCGCGGCCGACGGATCGCCGTACGAAATCCCGTTCCGTATACGAAAATTCGATCGGCGGCCCCGGTGGCCGGTGTCGGTTTAATCGACTTCTCGTATTACGCGTGTAATTTACGATAAGTCGCCGACTACCGGGCGAATAGGTACTGGACGGTACGGGGGGGAAAAAAAAAAAAAAAAAAAATTAAAACTCGTATTACGAGGTCTCGCGATACCTCACCTTCACCCGTATTTTTTTTTTTTTTCGGTTCCCTCTCGTTTGCGTATTTCGTTTACACGATATTCGCGACGATACGGACAATGTCTCGCGTGTATTGGTAATATCGAGAGTCGCGGCCGGAAATCATAATATTATAGACAGGCACTGACTTACGGTGTACAGTGTGGTCGATTTTCCACGCGTCCTTGGATAAATTTCGCGTGCGCGAAATACGAATTACTCATTCAGTTACTATCGAAAAATCGGCCGTTTCCCGACAAGAGAATCGGTTATTCCTGTTGTTTTGTTTTGTTTTTTTTTTTGTTTGCCGAACGGTACTTTTTGCCGTTTGCCGTCGATACAATTTTTATTCGTCTTAAAAATCGCCCGAAATTGTTTGCGTTTTCAAACAACTTTTCTAGTAATCTCGCACCGATACAAGGCCGTAACACGAGCGGGTTTTTTCGGGGGCTTCAAATCTCTCCCGCTCGAGTTATTGTTCGCGTTACATTATGTTCTGGGAAAATAATTATTTCAGTCAATAAAACACCACGTATTTCTAGATTATCTTGCCCCCCCTCCCCCCGAAATTATTTTCAAATTACGAACTTGCTCCGATCAAAAACAGTACAGGAACTTTCTCATAACATTTTTAATCAAGTTTGGGGCTTTGAGTTGGTCGTTTTTTTTTTTTAGGTTTTTTTTTCTTGTAGTTTTCTTGTCACTACAATATTGTTAAAATCGACTTATGAGGTTTTTCTGGGTAGCCGACGAGTTATCACCTTCGGGTTTAAATCTAAAAAAGGTCGTCCGGCCGCAATGTTTAGCGGCACAATACAAAAACGATTGCGCTGCATGTTATTATTTTTAATTTTTCAAGAAACACGCGCCAACAACCAGGCCATTGTACCCCGTCCACGTCGTGAACGGCGGGTGCTCGTGAAGGTTATCGCGCAGGATTTCACATCGAATCGTTTTTATACAGGATGATCAACAAACGTAAGCCGTTCATTATTATCTAGGATTAAAGTATTTATTTGTTTCGTGATTTCGTTTATTCGGAATATTAAGAAACAAGCCGCTCTACGTTTTTACATTTCCGTTATTTTTTTGTCGCCTTTATTTTGGAGAGTTGAAACCACTGCTGAATTTTGATTTCTAAACGACACCCTTAATATTGAAAGTGCCTTAAACGGACGGAGTGTAAATTTAAATACATTTTAGCGTTGACATTTCCGTCGACCCGTCGACCGGATATTTCGCTTTAATGTTCGGATGGGGGAACGCGAAAATCAAAAGCAAATAGTGACCCCCGAAAACAGGGACGATATAAACTAACGATTTATCGCGTAACATTTCACAGTGACTTGTTTTACTGACAACTTCTGAAAAATAAATTAAAACCGCAAAAAAAAAAAATCAATCCTTTCCGACAGAAGCGGCTCGAAGTATTTTTACCTTGAATCACCGGAACAATTGTTCCACTCAACCACTCACCCGCGCCAACCCAAAACTACCTCCATTCTACCACAAATTTATTGGAATTTGTTAAAATTCAATAAAATGCGTGAAATTTATCAAATTCCCGCAGTCTAAAATTATCGGAATGACTGTTTTGTAAAAACATAATAATTCTACAGAACACCCACGACCCACCCACGCGGTTTTTGTGAATCGCGTGATTCAACACTACATCTCCTTCGAGCCGCCACTGTTATTCGAGATGTCGGAGCCGTGTCTGTCGTTACGTCGATCGCTCTGTATATAGACGTCGTCGTCGTCGCACGCCGGTGGAAATGTAACTTTGGCTTTTGCGCGCGACCTCGGATAATTTTTTCGCAAATACGACACGATAATAAAATGTAACACAACGTTATGTAAGTGCATAATGTTATGTAAAAAAAAAATACTGGCGTCCGTCGCGAATTTATCTGTTCGTTCCGAGAAACGTTTCTAAAAATATACGAACATCATAATCGTTATAAATATATTGATACGATAAAAAAAAAAAGTTAATTCACTCTATACTCGTTACACGATTTAAATTACGCTTGCGTCTACACCACACGTATTACTATTATTGTACGTAATTACCGAGCAGCGGGCCGCCGCTCAGATTGGAAACGTCGATCGGAAAAAAAGCACGGGAGCAAGGTGCCACGCGATTGTTGTTTATCGGGTGCCCGCACTTTTGAATAATTTTTTTTATTTTTTTTTTTTTACTCGTCGTCGATTAATTCGATTCGATTGGCGCGCGAACGAGGAAAATTATCGCGTTCGTTAATTATTACTGTAATAATAATAATTGCATTGTAATAAACTGCGCCGAACGATTAAAATAAAACACCTAATTCACCGTCGCCGTTCGTTTTTTTAAACGATAATTTATTATCGTCGTGACTTTACCGCAGTGCCTAACCCGCGCGTATTCGTTTTACCGCGACGACGTTTTAGCGCGATCGTCGACACGCGCACATAGCGAGAAAAAAAACGACGTCTGCGAAGAAACCGTCTACGCGGACGAAACAAAGCGTGCGGCATTTTTTCGAGATAATTATTTCGAACGAATTCGCATGCACGCATACCTACCCGGTTGTTTGTGAACGAACGGCACAATGAACATAGACTTTTTTAGATTCTGAGCGCGGCGAGGAATGTATTGGTTTCACTAGTTATGCCTGGAAATTTAACACGAGGTTCATAAGCGTATTGCCAATAGTTTTTCTTTACGAAAATACCGCATTTCAAAACGCGTTTAACCGAATTTCGCTCAGAATCGTATTTTGTTAGCAATGATATATCATTAATTCTATGTACCTATCTCATATTCAAAAACTTCCCACCTATACCAGTATCGGCTGTTTTTTTTATACCATTACATTTTCAAAAGGGGCATTTTACATTCCTAGTGGAGCGAAGAAGCTTATAGTTTTACAAAGATGTTTATTTTCTATTTTTTTTTTTTATCCTTGCGCAACTGTTCTACCGAAAATTTTGCTCTGGTTTACACTAAAGACACTTTTTCTAAAAGAAAATCTGACTGGGTACTTTAAAGTGGTCATTTTACCATAATATGACACATGTATGTATTGTTGACAAAGCAACATTATATCAACTAAATTCCGCTCAGAATCGATTTATTCATGAGCAATGGTTTATCGCTGCTCATAAATATACATTAAATTCCAGTCAGTATCCTACCGTTTCAACTTATTACAATAATGGCTGCACCCACGTGCGAAGTATGTCCGTCTTTTTTTTTCTTTTTCGCCGTCTTTTTTTTCTTTTTCGCCGTCTATTTGATATCCGATTCGCTGCGAAACGCCAATACCCTGCGTTGTTGTCTACGTAGTTTAGTGCGTCTTCCCGGAAAAAAGCAATTATTATGCCGTCGCAAGACGACCGGACCGACAGCCTTTTCGCCCGGTACCGTCCAAAGAATATTCGCCCACGTTTCGAATCGTTCGGCGTCGGGTCCGACGATCTCGCCGTTGTCGTAGGTATCACGCGAGCATTTTATTTAATCGCTACGTTTTATCTCCCGTCCTCGGAACATCCGTATCGAGCGTTTTAATTTCGTACTTCTACGAATTCCGAATGTGGAGTACACTTTGCACCGTACCAATGCAATAATTGCGCACAGTATCGCTAAAACTTCGTGGTTTATCATGGCGCCTATCATGACGTAAAAAAAAAAAAAAAAAAATCTCAGACATTATACATTCCGGCCACCGTTACGATTCGGTTTACGTTACACCGCGAAAGCAACGATAAATTATTTCAACGGAAAAATCATTCTGAACCGTATTAGATGGTGTTGTTAGATTATAATATTAGTTTCTTGTTATCGTATTATAGCCGAGATGGCCCGAAATAAAACACGTTTTGTTATATTTTAAAAAATGTCTGGAACAACGGTCGGCAATCTAGAATTAACATTTTTTTTTTTTTTTAAAAAAACAACAGTTACCGCCGCCGGTCGAAAAATCCGTATCATTTAACCGAACAAATATAATGATAGTTTATTTAGCAGTATTGAAGTTTAAAAAATTAAGACACGTCTATTAATATTGCACTGCATCGTCTATCACAAGCGGTGCGGTCTCACCGGGCCCCGTAAATCATATTTTCTAAATATCGCTTTATCTATAAATAATAATCATAATAATATTGCGGCCCCCTGTGGCTGTGTGGTTTCCTTAGTACACGGTCTGTTATCGGCGAAAATCAATAAAGTACCAACTATAAATAGCTAAACACATTGTTATTTGCTTGAAAACACTTAAAAATATGTTACCAGCATCGAACATAGTACGGCCGATTATTTGAGCTACAATTGACCAGTTTGTGTAAAAAAAAAAAGCACGAAAAAAAAAATGATTGTTTATTATCAGTTTTACTACAATAATCTATGTTTATTTTTTTTATTTAAAGTAAAAGTATACTTATTATGTCATATTTATGTCATCGTGTTCAATAAAATAAAAAATATTAATTAATAAAATATTGTTTCTACCTAAGTAGGTAACTACTAATTTTGTGTCCAATATAAAAATACAGATTTCATTGTGTTAGTTTATGTATGGTTACAAATTTAGATTTCTAACAAGGCCTTAAAGTTTATTAAATTATACGAAAATAAAGTAAATCTGTTAAAAAATAAAATAAATAAATTTAGATATATTTGTATAAATAGATATGGGCCCCGCAAAATTCTGCACCGGGCCCCGAAATCTATCGGGACGGCACTGATCACAAGGATAAAATCCTTGAGTGGATACACGAAGTCTCCAAAAAAATAATAAAAGTTAGATCAAAATCGTTTTTTTTTTTTTTTTGCGCATGGAGCTTTTTACGCAATCTAAATCCAGTAATCAAATAGCCATTGTAAAACTTTGAGGTGTTTTTGCGGGAAATATCGAGTTTTCAGATCTCGCGTTACGATTGTGGACGACTGGCTGAGATAAGTTGTTTTGTGATAAATAAATAGTATAATGGTCTTTTATGACATCAATTTTTGACGGATGATAGTTTCGTTTCTGAGTATGACTGCAGTTTATTAGCATAAAGTAGTACTTCTGTAATTTTAAATTTAATCCAGAGATATGATTATTTCAACGCGCAAATGTTGGTCGAACGTGACGCCTAAGTATTTTATATTGTTCACTCTAAATTTTATGGCAGGACATTTGCATTGTATAATGCAGTGGTTTTCAACCTGTGCATCGCGGCTCCCAGAGGCGTCGTGGTTTAGTATCACGGGAGCCGCGGCTATAGTAAATATAGTCGAGTAATACAGTAAAGTTATTTATGTACGTTTTTATATTGTTATCATTATTCGTAAGGGAGCCGCTAATTTGGATTTCAAAATCAGAATAGCCGTGGACCCAAAAAGGTTGACAACCACTAGTATAATGGATTTACATAACGGGTCGTGAGCTTTTTAGACAGAGATATTCGTAGATGTTTTTATTGAATTGGAAAAGGTTAAGAACAAAACTTTAACATTATTTAATGTCAAGTTATTGTTTGAAAACCAAATGATTACTTTTTTTTTTTTTTTTTTACTTAAAGATTTTTCTGCTATTTGTACTATACTGAATCGCATGTCCCACCTATCACAATCAAAGCTGTATCGTCTGCACAGGAATACAGACTACCTTCAGTTTGAAGATTAGATACTCCCGAGACATATATGATATACAATAACGGAGATATTACTGCACACTGAGGTACTCCTAGGGAAATGCATTTACTTGTGCTTATTGCATTGTCTATTCGAACCTGTGGGTTCTGGATACGATTTGTATTTAATGAGCTTTGTTTTTAATAACGATTTGGTTTAGATAATTAAATAATTTATTGTGAGATACTGAATCGAAAACATTATCTAGATCCATGAATACAACGATTGATTTTTTTTTTTGTTTTTTAGAATCCATTGCGCGTAGAATTATGTGTGTTAAATTAGTCTAATAACGCCATCAGTGTTACGCCCTTTTCTAAAGCCAAACCGAGTTAGAGGTAGGATTTGGCTTTTTTCTAGATAGGTAATTATAATCTAATTTTTTTAAATATCTGGAGAAAATTGTCAAGAGACTTGTCGTCTATCATTTTCTACGTTGTTTAGAGTACCCTTTTTTGTAAATTGTGGCGATTATTGCTATTTTTAAACTGTCTGGAACAATATTACTGTATTCATTATATTAACTAATAGCTCTAGCTCGTAATTTAATTATGTGTGAAGTAATACTGTCAGGTCCCGGCGCAGGGTCTTCTTCTAGAGATCTAGGGAAATATGATTATTAAGAGCACCTATTTAAGGTGTGAACAATCGGTTTTACTTACCGAAAAACTTCGTTAAAAATACTTTACACGCGTATAAAAAAATAGGTAATAGGTAAATTAGTTTTTAGACTACACTCGGAAATCTAATTGTAACAATATATATTGTAATATTATTCGCTGTAAAAATTGTAGAAAATCGAAATATTTTAATATTTTTGCAAACTGTTATATGCGAATCGACCGATTTCCACTATTCGTGTATTGTAATGTTACATCATGATAATAATATTATTACGTTTCGTCGCATTTCTATTGCGGTATTGCCTACCTATATTATATCACGCGGGATTCAAATGCGCATGCCTACACACTATAATATATTAATAATCTAATATAGTTTTTTTTTTTAATGCCAGCACGTAGGTTTCACTGAACATCCTGTTCATTTATCATACAGATATAATAATAATACAGTTATGTAAATGGCGAACACGAAAAATTAATCACTTTTAATCTGGCGGTGGGTCGTCGTCGGCACGAAAGTACAATAGTTCACGTCACAATGTTCACGTTATAAGGTCAGATTGTGTATTTGAACGCATAGACGTTGCCCGCGAAATCTAAAAACTCTAAATCATTTTTCGCCGCAATAATAATAATAATGTATTCAGACGTAAATACACTGCGTTACATATTATATTATTGTAATACGGTTTGCGTTCGAATGATTAAAACGTCATATCGGAAATAATACCGAGTAGCGTAATATTATGATTATTATACACGAGAACGAGAATGATTTACGTTTAGAAAGCGTACGCCTAAAAACGTTGTTATACTCGTGGAGAAAAAAAAAATGACCTGGTAAAAAAATAAAAACAAACGGGCATATATTTCGTACGACGGGTGGGCCACTGCTGTAGGCGAGAAATTGCAGGGAAGGCGGAGTGGAAATTTAACGTATAACTGTACGCAAAGATCAATCGCCGCTAACGAAAAACGATTCTGGAGCGGAGTTCGGTTACACACTTGTCAATGTTTTGAGAGGCCGTAATATTTACTGTTTGAAAATAATACATTTAGTAAATGTTCCCGTTTTTCCTACGTTTTCCACCGGTTTTTCTCATTTATTTTGAAAACCCCTGAGAAAATCGAAAAAATAACCTACCATCATAGTCAAATTCTCTTTCACAAAAAGTGCAACACTCGTAAATCAGAGTAAAATTTCCGGTATAAAAGTTGTTCACAGAAAAATAAATAATAAACACCGTTTTAAAACCAATACATTGCTCGGTCCGCTCGGAATTTAAAACGGTATATTTCAGTGGCATAGTTTCAACATTTTTTCCGGGAGAAGTGATCCGCGGTTCACAACTGTGCACTATGAGGTTACGTATCTTGGCCGTTCTTTTGTTGGGGTTTCAATAATAAATAACATGTAGGTAAATTCCAATCGTCTAATCGTCTAGCTATAGTCCATCGATAATCAATTTTTTCCGTACGATAAAGTTTTATCATTAAAGTATATACTTTGTACGATGTACATTTATCAAGTTTGATGTTTAGCCGCAGCTTGAAAACCCGTAACGGCACAATTCGCACTATTGTGAAACGGCTGTATAATATATTTACTACTTATTAGTTATTACTGAACTATATTGCAGGAATAATAATTTGATTTTTTTTTTTTTTCCGGCTCTTGGGCGAAGTCAGTGCACCTGGACATCTTCCCCCCGTAAATACGCCACTGGTATTCTCACCTACTTCTTACTGTTCGCCAATATCCCAACGATGTTACTGGCTTTACTGCGTTTGTTAAATTTAAATTTATTATACATTTGTCTGTAAACAAAACATTTGTCTGTTCGGCAAAAAATCTTTCTTCGATCGTCAACTTTCCGGTGTTGTTTCCGGTATTGACTTTTGTCCATTGAGGATAGCAGTTTATTAAATTTCTTCTGAATTTTTCTCATTAATGCATTAACGCTGGAATAAAAACACGCCAGGAATACTGCCGTCGCCCAGTACTTTCGATGATATAGAAACGCGACAGTAAAAATCTGTGCCAATTGAGTTTTCTTTCCATGAAATTTCAATATGCGCATTTGTCACGTTTGATTCGCGGTTTAATGGTAGTACACTTAACCCCCTGCAATTTATATTCATCAATATGTCTCAATTGATACGTTAGCCGTAGCATCGTTCAAGCTTTATTATCCAATTTTTTTTTTTTTTTATTGACATTTTGTGCGGTTGCACATAATGCATTTTAACCGTTTTCTATTTTCTTTTTAACGGTAATTTGCTCG